TCGAAGTCCTGCCGTTTCTTTTCGTTGATGTTGCAGCGCTCGTATGTCTTGTCTTTGGGGGCCGCCCCTGATGCCTTTGATGTAATTTCCAATAGTTTCTTATCGATACCACGCCGTGTTGAAGAAACATCCCTTGATGATCCGTCCAACGTCGGCGTCCAGCCAGTCCTGTGTCCGGCCAGGTGTAGGGCCGCGACGTGGTACAGGGTCTTTCGGAATAGGAGTGCTGGCGCCTTGAAATGCAGCTGCTGCGGCGGCCGCTGCTGGTCCTCTGGATCGACGTTGATCAGCAGGTTGCCCCGCAGGTCGTTGTTGCTTGCTATCTCCAGGATTGGGATCATCTGGGCTTTTCCTCTTCTTCTGTTTGGGCGGTGGTCTGAGCTGATCAGGTCCGAGTGTCTTAGAATGACTCGACGGATCCGTAGATGGAGAAATATCAATTGGCGGATCTGTCTTCGGCTTGGGAGGAGGTGCCGTAGCCGTGGCCCCTGCAGGTATTATCCATGGCCCATATCGCACTGGCCCTCTCCCAGGGTTAAGGTCCACGCCGCCGGGCTTTCTGAGTGCCATATTCCCGATGGTGGCCTTTCCCCTGATGGAAAGGTTATATGTATTAGCGCTAAGCCTTTGGTCAACAGTAGTCTTTACCCAGCCTGCAGATGCAGCGCGGTAAGCAACCCTTCTTTCTGGAGAAAGATCCATTTCGTCAGTGCGACGTACCTAGGACCAATAGGGGTGTCCATATCGTAAGTGACGTCCGTGACAGTGGAGTGGGCGTCGGAGTATGCCGAGGCGTGCCCTGCAGGAGCTGCTTCCGTGGGGTCTACCTCTTCAGCCATTTCTCCAGCTTCATCAGCTCCTGTTTGGTCGTCTTCTTCTGATTTTGGCGAAGCAGTCTTCCCCGCGTTCCACTCACGATTGAATATATTACAATAGTGAAGAGGTGAAAAGTGCTTCCGTATCTTCATCGATTGGGATATTTCGTTGGCTGTAGCTGGGTCGTAGTCGCGTTCCGTCGGCTGCTCCTTCCATGGCGTTGCATTCGGATCGGTGCGGTAGCCCCGACCATCGCCATGAGACCAAACCCACGGTGTCTGGTGAAAGTTAAGGCTTCTCGATGGGCGTCTCATGGGGCAGCCAAACCGGTGGCCGGCATACTCTGAGCATGTGCAAGCAACGCCCCTGCGAAGTTTCCGTTCCTCGACGATAGCCCTCGCGAGGTCGCGCTTGATGAGGGCTTCTTGTGATTTGACAGCCCCTGTCCTTTTTGAGCGCATGACCTTGCCCTTCTCATTTTGTTCAACCTTGCGAAGAGAATGCCAGTGGCGAATCTGGTGCTCAGTCCAACCCAGGTCCAACCAGTATCGCATGGTATCTGGGTCTACGTGCCGACGGGCCAGTCCAGCATCCGAGTAGCCAACGCGGCGATGTAATTCGTCTTCTGGGTATTGTTCCTGAGGTTGCCCCCCTTGAGGCGGGCGCCCCCGCAGACGCCCCCTCCTGGGGGGGGGGGGGTCTATTGACCTGCCATGGGGGGGTCCTTGGCTTCCCCGCATCAGGGGGATGAGGGCGCCGAAGGCCGCTAGAGCGAGCGCCGCGGGAGCGCGCGCGCGCGCGCGGTTGGGTGGGTGGCTGTGGGCCCGACCGCGACGTGCCAGACGAGCGTCGTCTTCGCAATCTTCGTCGTCGTCGTCGGCGCGATACTTGCGTCTCCAGGACTGGCGGCTCGCCGATCGCTTCTGGCGGCTCATGGGGCGGTCCCAAGCTGCAAATGTGCATTGAAACCCTTCATTGCAACCGAGCTCGCACTAAACGCGCTCAAAGAGGTCGCTGACTTCTCGCGGGTTTCCCCGCAAAAGATCGCCATCACTCAAGTCCATGATTGTCGGATTTCCAATATCCCGAGGATAAAGCATCAACTGTATTTCCACCTCCGTTGCAAGAATAAGGGCTTCTGAATCCGCGGGTGCCCCCGCCATATCGTTATTTCCTTCGGCGGGCATGTGGCAGTTCTTAACGAATTCAGTATCAGCAGGTTGCCCCGCGATGGGTGTGCCCAGCCAGTCTGCCAGATCGAAGCCATTGTGGCCAGTGAATACCTCCTCGAACAGCTCGTCGGCGTAATTCTCGAGGGGCATACTGACACTCAAACATCTGGCAGCCATGGAAAACCACATGCAACTGAGCTATCAGTAGGGTCGGCTATGACTCCCAATCAACATACTGTATATCCAAGTCAGTTTGAGCCAGATGTATCGACGGACCTCTGCCCCCCCCCATCGCCCTGAGGGCATTCGCGGCGAAAGTGCTGTGTGCTATGGCGTATGTCGAACTCAATAGTTTTGCCGTTGGCATCCTTCGGGTTTGCCCGACGTCTTTTTTTTTTTTTTGCCCGGTAAGGGTTGTTAAGAATGCTAATATACCTCTGCCATGCAATCGCCGACGCTTACCTTTACCCTTACCTCGACCCTTGCCTTTTCCATTGAGTGCCCGTCGGGCGATGCGTCGTGCCTCGCGCGCTGGCTTCTTCATAAATCGCCTCCACCTGCGTTTATGTTTCTGGTATCCTAAGAACAACCATTGCGCCTGTTGCTCTTCCATCAGGTATGTCGGTATACCGGAGTTGTCGAGGGCTGTAGCCGCATCGTCCGAAGACGTGTCGGTGTCAGTGCTGGAGTCGAAGTCGGACTCGGCAGGTTGTCCCGCTGAACCCATTCGGGTTGTGGCTTGCGTAGGGGATGCCGCGTCGGGCGGCCCCCGAAACCTGGCCCAGGAGTCTTGCGACCCCGAGGCCGCTCCACCGTTCTGAACCAGTAGTGTAGTGGTCTCAGTTGGTTGTGGATCGTCATTCCAGACGTTATTTGCAGGTTGCCCTGCGTTTGCCTCAGCGTGGGAGGTCTCGGTTCCGTGTCCGTGACTGAAAATACCACCAAGATTGCCAGGGGTTCCCCCAGCAATGTGTGCATATGACCTCGCGCGTTCAAGTGGAGCGTCAAATTGTTGCTGGTCTCTCGGCATGTGGCGGTTTAGTGGCTGCAAGAATTGCTGTGCGCGCGATGTCCCCGCTCCAAGAACCCGGAACAAATATCTGTCAAGATTTGGACGTTGGGGATGTTGAGGCCTGCCGTTTCAGCTTCATAGCGGGCTATCTCGAAGCGCGCCAACGTCTGGTCGATTCGCTCTCCCGCATGAACTCGGAAGTCAATGAGAGCTGTGCCAGAGTAGAGTTGGCGCTCCTCTTCTGAATTCTCGATTTTCGTGCTTAAGAGGAACATGATGTAGGTGACGCCGTCGGTATGGCGACCACCTATGTTAACGCCAAAATTGATAACTGCCGGGGGGGCTCCCATGGCTATGGTCCGTGCGAGGCCTCCCAAACCTCGCTGCAGGGCTGCAGCTTGTTGGGAGGGCGTCATGTTGCCTGTGGTCACGTTGATCCAGGCATGTGCCTCGCGGACGAAGTCGCGGAAAGGTACTTGACCGGCTGGGTCCCAATGGGGGCGGGTCGTTCTTGTGTCGTCTCCGCCACGCATATGTCCTACCGCACACCTGATAGCGACCCATGTGAGCCCAAATCTAGTAGTACCAAGCCAATGGCCTCGCAGGTCGTGGTCGGATGTAGTCGGTTGGGGTTTTCGATGTGTGGTCGTAAATATGCGTGGGGGTGGAGGCGGCGCAGTATCGTATCGCATGTTTCCACGCATTATGTCTTCGAGTAAATGTCCAATTGGAGTAGGTGGGTGGACTTCAGGAGTGTAGTAGCGTAGGGATGTAGGACGAAAGTTAGAGGCCTCCGCACGAGTAGAGGCGTCAATGCAAGTGTCCTTGCTATGCTGCGTAGTTATATGCACTCCTGCGCGCAAGCCCACTGCACCCTGATGTTCCACCACGTTTGTAGTCCACCGAATAGTGCCGTGGATGGTGAGGAGTAGAGCAAGAGCTGCCCACCATAGGCCAGCTCTGCTATCAAGTTTGAAAAGGGTTGGGGAACCCAACCAACAGCTTCGCCTTAGGCGAAACCAAGCTCCCGCTATGTTGTACCGCAGAAGCGATAGTCCCAGTAGTAGGGGGCGAGCCATCTCAAACAGTGTTTTGGTATCGATGGCGAAAAGCACATCTCCCGAAGAGGTGTGGTCAGATCTGGGCGGCCGGCCGCTTTGAGTCAAGCAGCCGCGTATGCACGCTCGTTCCCACTCACATGCAACGCCCAACTCACTTTAGAATGGGTGGCGGTGCTGGGTTTTCGCTGGATGGCCGCCCGTAGCCGCATCTTCGTCGCCTCGCGCCTCGTGTGCCACCACATGGCTTGGACCAAACGATATCGTACCGCATTGTTTCCGCCACGTAGCTTGCATTACTTGGCTTGCACCATGCAGACCACACCATAATACATCGCACCACGTTGCCTGCGCCACATAGCTTGCGCCACATAGCTTGCATCACATAGCCTCAACAACATAACTTGCATCGCATTGCTTCCAGCACATTGCTTGCACATCACAATTCACAAACTCACTGTTTGAGGTCCTCCACACTGGCAAGCACATTCGCATTTTCAACTTTTGGGTTCAACATTGACCCAAGATGAGCTCCAGAGGCCTCTGGTAAAAGACAACTGGGGCGCAGGACGCCCCAGACGGCCCAGGCGGCCCCGAAGATGGCCCCAAAACGATCACAATGGCCCCAGAGGCCTCCAGCTGGCCTCCAAGACGCCCTCGACCTGCCCGAAGACTCTTCAGAACAAACCCGAGACCCCGGAAGGAAACCGTGAAGGCCCCAACCTAGTCCTCAAGATGGCCCTTAACTATTCCAATTGGCCTGCCAAACGGCACCGATACCGCGCTGTGGCCATAACATCATGACGAAAACGGTGGGCGGAATGGTATAAGTCTCTAGAATTAAATCTTGCGGGCAAACCATGCTGGAGGACGCCACGATAGCACAACGTGACTCCGTCCCATGCGGCACGGCAAGAAATCGAGAGTAAGCGCGCGCTGGCGTTACCCCTCGCGGACCGGCTTCGCATCTGGGTGCTCTAGAGAGCCAAAGCAACTACAATAACGTAAGCGTTCCGAGGTCCACGCGGGTTTCTTGGGTTGGAGCTGAATTCCATTCCCCACAATCCTTCTTCGTCGCGCGGAGCGCGCCGGGCGGCGGCGCTGGAGGCCCCGCTACGGGCGTCGGGAGTGGGGTCTGGCGCCGACCCAAGATATCTGCGTGGACGTCCGAAAGTTTGTTGAGGCTGCCCAGGTGGGGCTAGAGCAGAGGGGGTCGGAGGATCGCATCACATCGTCGGTGCGTCGGCGACGTCGGGATTGAGAAACTCGAGCCGCATCGCCAATGCATCGGGGATGCAGCGCGACCCACCGAAACCATCCACTCGGGCCCCAATCGGGGGGTCCAGCGCCGACCCAAGAACTCTGCGCGGGATGTCCGAAGGCTTCTTTTTGACACGCCCGAAGTTGGAAGGGAAACACACTGGACGATCTCCAACAACCAATGCCATCTGAAAACGACGGCGGCTGCTATTGGGCAGGCGTGGACTCCGTCCGCGGCGACCCCAGCGGCGAGTCCTGCTCAGAACGGACTTCGTCCCCATTCTTCTGGTGCCCATTCCGATCGTGCCGATGCGTCAGTGCAGCTTTTTTGGCTCCCCGTGCTCGCTCCGTGGAGAAAGCCGCAGAGCACGCCGAGCCCGACGCCGAGCCACAAGCTGCATCCCCAGAGCAGGCGGCCGACCTGCGCAGGCGCGCCCGCGCCCGCGCGCGCGGCCGCCGCCACCCAGATCGCCCGGTGGCCAGAGCGCAAGGCCACTGCCACGAG